ATGTACATACATTGTACATACAATGGAAATACCAAGAGCAGCTTAAAATAACATGAAGCTTTAGAAGAAGCTTTTAATTTTTGCTTTTTTGGGCAATTTATGGCCAAGCGTCGTTTGTTCTCTTGCTGTTGTTGTATTTTTCGACGCTTTGCGACCTTGGTTCAGTTCATTAACATTTTTGGCCAAAGCGTGGCCGCGTTGCGAAGCGCAGACAGAGGTGGTTTTGGTTTCTCAGTCCCTCCCCCCCCCCCCCCCCCCCCCCCCTTCTTCCTCATCATCGTCTCTTGTTGAATGAAAAGTACATTCAAACTAGAGACTGTACGTGAGTGTACGTTGAGAACACGAACGGCCAACATTATCGTGATTCACAACTTCGCAAAAACTTTCAAATTTTAAACTTTAATTAGACTAATACCGATATTATTGTTATTAAATATCAATGTACATAAGTAAATAAAATATCGTATTATATATAAATAATGCAAATATTGATAAAAGTATTTAATAAGTGTTGAAAATATAAATATTATAAGTATTCAAAAATATTATTTAAATTTGGCTTTTCAGCATCAAAATATTAAGAAATATCGATATCTTTTATTGCACAGTATACCTGATATATATTGAAGTGAATTTAGTTTCTACGTAAAATCTTAACAAAAAACTTCCATTTCACATTTTGCCATATTTTGTTTGGGATCCATTCATCCATCCATAGTTGAAAAATGAATACCGATTTCTTAGAACTTTCAAAACTTACGTAAGCGCTTCATTTGGAAAGGGGAAGGGGGGAATGGAATTCTTTTTGAGAGGCAGAATACACACAACACACGTGATACAAACATACTACACGCCATTCGACGCACACACCTCCCTGCTTCTCTCCCTCCCTCCCCCACTGATCATCGCCCACCAAAGTCAAGTCAAGTCAAGTCTGTGTGAATCACACACACACACACACTTGAGAAATGGAAGTGCCACTTCTCCTAATGAACCAACGCACTTTGTAAACACACACACATTCATCCACACACACATGTGTTGGACAACGTGCTAATCTGACACACGCACCACCTGCTCGGTTATTGTTGTTGGTATTGTGGGCTGTGTGCGTGAAATTAAAATGAAGAAATTATGTATGTACGCAGAATGGAATCGGAATTTCGGTTTTTTTCCTTATTGCTCGGCTGGCGACTGTTGCTGTGCTATGTTTGGGGGTACATGTGTGCGTGTGTGTGTGCTTTGCTGATAACAGCAGACTACTTGAGAAGTTTGGAGGCGAGGCGTGCTGAGGTGTGTTGTGGTTGTTGGCGGGTGTCGGATGGGGTGGGGTGGGGTGCGGTGAGTTCAGTTGAGTTGAGGTGAGACGGTCGTTCGGCAACAGTTGAAATCGTCACATCAACAACGTCTTTTTGATATGACAGGCGCCAACAACGACGACGACGACGTTGTCCCCCCAATTGAACACACACTGCATACATACGCTACATAAATGTACAAAAGATTTTGGTTTAAACCAAACTGATTGTTGATAGCAGCGTAGAAAAGGGCAAGGAAGGGAAGGGATTGGCAGTAGAGGGGGCCCTCTTTATGGCTACCATTTATATTTTGTGGCGCTAATAAAAATAGGTCTTGCTTGTTGCACGTTTTAATTATCAAGTCAGAAGGCGGGCGGGCGTGCGGCACTCGTCGGTCAGTTAAAAATACAGACAGGGCCAATGATTATCAAGTTGGCGGGGAATTATCGCGAGCTTGATATACCTTTAATTTTTGACGACCGAGAGGTTCTCATCAACTAAGCTGGCTGATCACAGCCGGCAAATAGTGAATCATACAAACATACATACGTCCATACATACATATGTACTTACGTTCGTACACGAATCAAGTGATAAATAAATAAATATAAATAATATAAAACATCAACGGGCAACTGCTGCCGAATACATATGTACATACATATTTATGTGGGCGTTGCTGCGCGTCGTTAAATGTCTAAAAACGTGGCACGAAAAGTATATACAAACTTATATGTATATTTATTGTATACAGAAAAGCACATAAATGCGCATAAATTCATAAAAATAAACGCCTGGTAACAAAAACACACGCCAGACAGACATCATCCAAAAATAATAATGGGAGCAGCCAACAACGCCACCACCACCAACACCAGCAACACTATCAACAGCAAACCTGGCTGGCGGGGGCTGCTCTGTGCATGTATGAATGTGTGCGTGTGTATATCTCTAGAGGTATGATTGCATGATAGCCCACAGTGGCCCCCACAGTGGTTTTGACGCGCGCCCAGCATTTGCAAAGAAAACGGCACTGTTCAAGGAGGAACATTTGCAAAAAAAAAATATATCACCATTTCCCCTAAAACATTCACCTACTAATCTTTTCCAACAAATTAAATTGGTTTTACCCAAAAAGTATTTATTTGAGCCACTTTTCTCTTTGAGAACATCAAGTTTCGGGTACACAGTTTCCGATTAATGCATTTAATAACAACTCAATGGTAGTAGTTTTCATTTGTTCGGAAAGCAAACAATCCGAACACACTGTGCCTGCCAGACAACGCGAAGCGAATAGACCCGACAATTTGCAATCAACGCCGACCCGGCATCAGTCATCAGCGCAGTGCAGCACGAAGTCAAGCCAGTCAGTCACATTGTGATATTGCAGTATATGTATGGGTGCATAAGTGAGAGTGTGCGTCTGTGTGTGTGCATTGCCGTCACAACAAGTGCGCTTGCTGACGGAGCTTTTACGATGGGATGCTTGCTCGCGCAGACGCCAGCCAAGCTTGTTTGTTGGTGACGTCTACTTTTACCCTTCGGGTGCATAGAGTTTACTAGTTTAGCGCAAGTGCATGTAACATACGGACAGTTACGAGGCGTGAGTGCATGAGTGCGTGCATAAATGTGCGGAAGAGGACGATTTTAGTTCTCAGCTAAAGACGTTTTATTTTACAGTGGATTCTGTAAATCTTCGCATTCACATTGTTTTGCAGCTCATTTAGCTACATATGTAAAAAGTTGTATGCACACATTTATAGATTATTATAACTATTATATTTTGTATTACTATTATTACTGTATTATTTTTTCAGTTTACGTTTTAACATAAAATTGAAAGCCTATTTCTGAACCGACTGCAGTGTATTTTGCGGTCGGACTAAGACATTTTCGCTGTGTTTCCTTTTTATTATTGCTTTTGTTGCAATTTGTATTTGTGTGTTTGCGTGTGCGTGCTAGTGTTAGTGAATGGAGCGAGCTTTGCGCGCCAAACCAAGTTGTACTCACTCGTAAGTGCAATACTACTACTACTACTACTGCGTACATTGTACCGTAATTATACGGGTAGAAGAGTACAGTTTAGTAGTAGCCGACGACTGCACCACACACATACCCATACATATATACATGTACATATGTATGCATGTTCGCAGCTATGTGTACATTTGCATGCGAAATGTGTCGCCAGTTTGAACTTTGTGCAAAAATCGTTTCTATGTACATATTCGTGCATATAAATATATATACATATGCAAATACATATGTATGTGTGCACATATGTGGAGGAGCCCGTTGACTGTTCGCGCCAAAAAACACCTACACTCTTGGCCACAAAGCAATGGCAAGACAGACCTCCTGCATGGAGGGAGGTGGGCGGCAGAGGGGCATGGACGCAGACGTCTCTAAAAGTAGGGTGTTGGCTGCACACATATTCGAGAAATAGAGAGAGCAAGATGTTAACGCGAGAGAGAGAGGATTTTGTTGGGCGTAGTATAGCATTGTTGGCAGCCGGCAAACTGCGCAAGACGCCGGCCGGCTAGCGCCTGGGGCTAGTGCTGCTGCTTCTGCTGTCTGGGACTGTGTCGAAAGAGAGAGGCATAGAGAGAGGAAGTAGTAATGCTGGCGCTACCAAAAAAGGCAATTTTTATGCGGGCCGGCTAATAGTCTGTTAGATGATGACGCCATGCTTCCTCCCGGGGGGTGCCGCCAGTTGCCCCACCAGTTGTTGGGCATAATGAGCCATGAGCGACACGCGCCATGGCAAGCAAAAGGCATGTTGGTGGAGGCCAAGGATGCGTTTGGCAATAAGCACAGCCCGCCCACCCACACACAAATACATGTACATACATCAGCAGCCGACAAGCCGCCGAAAGGCCGTAAAACTTGCCCTTTTGCCGCAAGGAAAAAAAATCAATAAAAGGCAATGAAAGAGAGAGAGAGAGCGAAGAGAGAGAGTACAGGGCGGCAGACATGGTGCATACATATAATGTATAAACATTTGTCTGTGTACGGGTGTAGGAAATTAAACAAGTTTACTACGTTTACTGTTGACGTAGGCGTCGTCAGCAATGGGGGCGAGCCCGAGCCCGATAGTGGTCCACCATGTGCGTATAAGCATCGATTTTTGTCATTTGGGTGCGTCATGGTGGTATGGCTGTGTGGTGTTGGTGGTGGTGTGGGCGCACAGCACTAGTTGCACACAAAAGTCAATTAAGAGGAGAGGCGGGACGCATGGACGTGCTAGACGGGCGTGCAAAATGCAATATAGAAACATATAATTATCTCTGCTGTAACTATTTTTAATGATCGAGCAGACCCGGCCATTCAATTCACTTACTCAGAGATCTTTGAGTATTTTCGTTGGTCGATCACACAAGTACTCAGCATGCTGTTAGTTTTAAGTTAATTTTTAGTTGATTTTTTATTAGCTAAATATTCATAATTTGCCAATTGCTCGAATAAATTCTAGTTTCAGAAATAGTTAAGATACTAAGAGATGACATTTTTCAATTCACTTTGATTTTTAATTTAAATTTTGAATGGATAAACACTTTTTGACGGAGGTAGCAACAAAAACTATCAATATGGAGGGGTAGGAAGGTAGGAGTGGCTTTCAAATGAATCAAAATAAAAGCGATGATATCAAATAGATGGGAATACAATAGGTTAGTTTGGATTTTTGAAAATATTTGTATTTACCGGAATCGGAGGGTGTCTCTATATTGGGGCCATCGTAGACCATATCTTTGCAACGCGTATAGCTGTGATCGCTAATGTGACGCATGAAGAGGCTGTTGTTGCCATCCAGAGAGGCTGCGGATCCACAGCTGGAGTCCATCAGGGAGCATTCACCATCATCTGCTTCCACATCCGGATCGGCGTCCACTTCCCCATCCGAATCACTGTCCGAGTTCAGCGCCGTCATTGTTGATGTTGCTGCTGCTGTCAGGCTGCCATCGATTGTCGACTGCTGCTGTTGCTGCTGCTGTTCCTGATGCAGGACGTCGAGCACCTCAGTGATGGACGGCTCGATGCCAAGGCGATAGGATAGATCTATGTTCTGTTTGCTTGTATTCTGAAGCTCCCGGCTCAGCAGATCTATGTAGGTGTCTCCGGCGCTGGTCAGCGATATGTTGTTGCTGCCCATCACGCAGGCACGCAAATCGACATTGTGATGGAAGGGGGGCAGCGGCGTCGCCTCATCGTACAGACTGTGGGGGGTATCGGGACGGACGTAGGCGTATTTATTAAATCTGTCTGTTATACTCTGCTCTAATGGCGGGAGGACCCTTCTACCATGCTTGTTGTTGTTTGATTTGCGCAAAAGCGAAGCACCTGGTGGTATGTGTTGTTCGCTTTGTTGTTGCTGCTGCAATATGCTGTGCTTCTCCAAATGCCGTTCATAATCTTCGTGCAGCTCGGACTTGATATGAAGGGCAGAATCTAATACGACTGTGCGGTCAGGTTGGTGGCGGTAGTTGTGGGCCATCGGGACAACCACCACTGGGGTGGGGCCGACTCTGGGCCTGCCACCATCTGACGGCATCGGCACTGTCATTATTGGATTTGGACTCATATCATCAGCATCCCCATCCGGATCCCGCTTAATCGACACTACGGAGGGTGGCACAGCAGTGCTCTCGGAATAGCTCGAGGCTGCGGAATTCGTACCGCTGGCATTCCCATTACTGTTGTTGTTATTGTTGCTGCTGTTGCCACATCCGGCACCACCCGACCACATGCAATCCGCATTACGTATCTCAGATTTTATATCAAGAATATCGCTCCTCGAATCGAGAGTTGGGTGTCCCAACTCCCACTCATGTTCAATTACCTTGGCTATATCGTCTTCAATGGTTGAATTCGGTTCGAAATCGAAAAATTCATCGAAGTACATGAGCTCATCCAAAATGAAGCTGCCGCTAAAAGTACGCTGCGGGCTGTTGTTGTTATTACCACTGTTGTTGCAGGTCTTCGCCATGTTTCTGCTCTTTTAAACGATTTATGCTGCTCTGCGATCCTGCTGCTGACGCCAATTGGCTGCAAGAAAACAGATCGAAATAATATTGTTTTTTGAAGAGAGAGCAGAACAAGATTAACATTCATTCATTTATTCAAGTTGAAGTTGAATAATGTTATTAATAATTACATTTGTATTTACATACGAGTATGTGCTGCGGTTGCCGTGAGTCGCGTGAGTCACACATACACATATGTACATACATACATTTAGTACACATAGAACATACGTAATTAGGTAAAGCTGCTAAAATTATCAACAACTGACATTAATGCTGACTGATGCTGACATCAATTCATTTCTCATCTATAAATGTACACACACATATACATATGCAAGTTCTTTAATCTAATTATTTGAAAGCGTCACTGTATTTGAATATATTTCCTGTCTTGACAACAGTTGGCGCCGTCTACATACGTATGTATGTATATGATTGTTCCGAAAGTTGCAAAAAATATTTTAAGAATTTCCACCCAACCAGAAGCAAAAACAAAAATAAATCAAAAGCTGCGGTCTAGTTCATGCTGATTAATATAACTAAAGGATATATGTAATATATAAGAATTACTAGAAAACTTAACAGAATTTCAAGAAATGTTAAAAATTGTGAGCACAAATTTGCAAAAAAAAAAAAAACTGTAAAATGTCCCCCCCTCTAGTCTCGTTCTTTTTCAATTCATTGATGACGCATTTTGGTATTTCACCATTCCAAGTCACAGGCATTGGGAGTAGCTTTTTAGCTTTCCACAATAACAGTAACAGCTGGCGGATATTTAATGAAATGCATGTTGTATTTATTGTGCAATAAAATTGTGCAACAAAATATGCATTTATCTATTAATTTACACACACATATGTACATATATGCATACATACAAACATACATAGGCAGACATTCCCGCTCTACCATTACACACTACCGGCTACGAATGGCAGGAGAAAGGAAGCAGAATCAAATGACCGCAACGAAATCAAAATTAAGAGCGGACGATGACAAATTTGACAAATAAGGAATGCAAGTGCCGTTATGACATACAGACACACATGCTCAAAAGTAACGGTAAGCTTCCAATCTGACGCCGAGACCTGCCGCCAAACATTGAAAGCTGAAAAAATTCCTTCTGCATATGTATGTATGTGTGTATGTACCTCAAACAACACTGACACATGAGAAATAGTTATCTCTTCTTGCGCCTAGCCTACGTTCTCAATTAAAACCGAAAGTACAATTCAATTCCATTTGACATCACACACCACAGATTTTCCTCTATTCTATTTCTTTTTCTATTCTAAGCTAACCCTATGGCCTGTAACTTACATATTGTACATTTGTGTGCATATAAATATGCGCACATACACACACACACACACAGACTTGCATGTCAGTCTAACGGCATAGCCTTTGACTCTGCTGTAATTTTGCGACATGTCTGTCGCATGCATGTACGAGTATGTGTGTATGCATGTAGTCACACTTACTCTCTATATAAATTGTTATGTACTTTATTTTATTTTTGTTCATATTTACCTTAAGTAGAAAACTTAAACATTCATTTACGCTATGCGTATTCAACTTGTTTATTGAATGAAAAAGTTGTTTTTCTCTCCAGTAGGCACCGTTTTCGCGCCACACGTATAATTATTCTTTAAGTGTTGTTGCACACTTCTTGTCAAAACGAAAACACCAAAAAAATATACAAAAAAATATATACATACATATGTATGTACGGTGTAGAGAAGAAAAACTAGCGCGTAGCTGATCAAAACAAAATTATATGATTTTTGCGTATTTCGCTTTCGACTGCCTTTTCTCCACAAATGCACACGCACCGGCACCGACAGACAGTTCGTTCTTGTTTTGTGGCGGCTAGCAGTTAATTATAATGCAAAATGTTTGCGGTTCCGCTTTAACAGAAATTTGTTTTTTTTTTCTTTCTTTCTGCAGTTCGAGTTATTTAGTGTTACACAAGTTTTCAGCGATTTAAGAAACAAGTTATTAAACAATTATTTTACATTGGTTGTATTTCGGCTTAGTTGTTGCTCCGGGCACGGGCACAGCACCACGACCACGTTAATCGAGATTGGGGGCACCCAACAATCTCGCAATGTTGTACAAATTTTTTGTGTTTTTTAGAAAGACGAAAATGTCTGGCAAAGAGCAGTTCTATGTCTCGAAAATTCACCTTACTTTTAGTTTTTAATGGGAATTTAAATAGAAATCTTTCCGCTCCTCTTTTTTCTTATTTCTATGTTTGGTATTTTTGCGCTCTCTGCATTACTTTTTTATTTTATTATTTTGTTGAATTGCTGCTACAATTAGTTGAGTGTGTGTGTTTGTCAGTTGGTTTTCTGTTAATATGTGTGTGCATACATTTCTTTTATAAACAGCAACTATTTCTTCTGTGTTGGTTGCTGTAGTTTCTTACTTGTAATTTCTTTAATTAATTTTTATTTATTTATTAATTTTTTTTTGGTACGGGAAACAGCAATTTCTACGAAGAGCCAAGTACGCGTCGCACGTTCGAACGTTGCGGAGTCACGAGTCGAAGTGTAACAAACATGCCCGGCATTGAATCTAAAATCTAAAAGCACTAGCGGCCGGCATTTTCGACCGTCTCCGCTGTTCTCAGAGAGCACAAAAAGAGAGAGAGAGCGAGAGCGTGCCAGCGTTTTTTTTTTTTTTTTGAGTGAAAATGATTTGAGTGTGATCCATGGCCTTTGGTTAATCTGGCTGGTGGTTGGCCACAAGTTGCCAAATGCAATTCAGTTAATATATACATACGTGTATACATATGCATAAATATATACGTACATATAAATACATACATATGTGTAGAACAAATATTTTGTGAAATATCATACTCAAAGCTCAAAAAGCACAGCATTGCATTTCCCGGCGTAATTCAACACACACTTGCATACACATACACACACATTTGTATATACATACATGCACATGCATATGCCAATTTCGTTTGCCAACGCAACAAAAACGTTTTTGCGCTCTCTGTTTACATTTGTTTTTGGTTTTGAGTGCATTGTGTTATTTCTTTTAATGCCGGCACATGTGCATTTACACATACCCTCTCATGCATATTATATACATATGTATGTATGTATGTATATGTGTGTGTTTTCATGCCTGCGATCGCGGACCACAACCAGCGTGAGAAATAGCATGCCCGCTTTCGCATTTCATGTTTTTGTTTTGCTTTTGTGTAAATATATAAATATCTACATACAATATAAAATCCACCGTGTTTACAAAACACATCGTTTATTTTGCACGTTGCTTGTATGTATGTATATGTGTACATACACAAATTTGTGTTTATGCATGGTACAGCCAAAAGAGAAGTAATTAGAGATCTAGTTCAAATATTCTTATAAGAGTGCAAGATTTGCAGAAATGTGCCCTGGTAAGGATATTCATTTTTTTAAATATACATACATATGTATGCCTATATATGTACATGCATGCATATATAAACATTGATTTTACATATGTACACACACACACACACATGAATAGAAATAGACAAGACCCTTATCATAAACAACGATCTAAGACCATACAACGGGAATCATTTAAAGGAGATCAAGATTTTTAATTCTGCTCTATTACTGCAGAATAAAAAAGCGCACTTTTACAAAATCAATTCATGGACGGTTTTTAACATAATTTTAGTAAATTTTTCTAGTTTCTAAAATGTTTGTAAATTCGTGAATGTTTCATTTTTCAGCCTTCTACACACAACTCTAACATAAGGTGTTGGTGGTCAAAAAAGAGCTTCTAACGGGATCTATGTACATATGTATGTACATACATATCTCTATAAACACTTACATTGGATGTATGTATGTACATATGAATGTACATACATATGTATGTATGTGCTAAGTCTGCAACAAGTGCTGTATGTACATACATACATATGTATGTATGTATATACTTGGATCATTTTGCACCGCCAAGTTCTTTCATACATACCTGTTCATACATACTTATGTATGTACATGCATACATACATACATATGTATGTTTTTATTTCTGCTAAACTTTTATTTAGAATCTGCTGCGCGTTTTGCTTGTTGCGCTTTTTGAAATTGTTATTGTAAAGTGGTAAATGCGCGAAAAAACACAACTGCGTAAATAATGGCAACAGCAAGCAATGCCGCTGGCTAGCTTGTTGGGGAACGGGAACAGGGCTAAGGAGGAGGTAAGAAGTGTGTTGAGAGAGAGACAAAGAGAAAGAGTGAGTGGGAGAGAGCGGGGAACTGTTGGCACTCATAAAAAAAGTCGTCACAGACATCTCAACATCAATAGGTTTTTTTTTCAATAATTTTAGTTAAAGTGTGCGACTAAAAGAATTCGCTGAGCTTTCGAAATTGTGCTGTCGATCGACGGTGGCAGCGGCCGCAACGGCAGCGTTGCCTTTGCTTTTGCAACTAGAGATGGGTAGAAGCCGGTTTTTTGTCAGATCGACACGAAACGGCCTAGAACTGACCTTTTCAGAATAGTTGTTCGTAACATGGCCCATTGAGAAGTTTACGTTAGTAGCACATGTATGTACTATGTGAAAAATGGTTATTAATCGAATCATTGACCGATCATTGTAATCACTATAATTATAAGAATCATAAATGTATATAAAGTTAGTATAAATCCAGATTCTCCCAGGTCCGAGAAAGCACGAGCTTGTGTTTATTTTATAATCGACCGTACATTAAGTGAATTTTTATAACTCCCATAATTCTTGAACATGAGTCATAAATTGGATTTAATTTATTATTAATTTAATTTAATTAAACAATTTTAGCTTAAATAAAGTATATTAGTACTGTTTTTATACAGTTTTTTTTATAGAGTTGTGCCTTCTCAATTCTAGCTTTCCATTCTACTTTTACATTGAAAACATATGTACATATATATTATATTAATAGATATTGAATTTATATTTAAAAGAAAAAAGTAAGCAATTTTATCATCAACCGTGTTAGACCTTTATTTTAATTTCAGTGATGCTTAAATTCGAAGAATTTTACATATCGGTTCTGTAGAGCTAAATCGAGTTTTTTACATATGTATATTCAAATTATTTTTTAATTATATTTTGTACAAAAAATAATAAACTCATCGCTTAGTACGTCATTTTTCCAAAAATTATAAATTCATTAAAAATAAAAATTTAATTATTGATTAAAATTAATGAAATTGACAAAGTAAATATTAAAAATGATGTGTATAAAATTAATAAAAAAATAAAATGTAAAACACGATCACATAACAAGGACGCATGTCCACCACTACAGCAGCGGCATCGGTAGTGGCAGCGACGCCAGCGTCCGCATTGCTATTGCTACGTAACAGTGGCAGTATGTATACTTGATATTTAACGGTTTACACATGCGCCGCTTAGCAACATTGTAGTCGCGCCAAATGCCATTGAAACTGTTGCTGTTGTTGTTCTTGTTCTTGTTGTTGCTGTTGGCGATGGCGTTGGTGTTGTTGTTGATGGAAGGGGGTAATGCATGAGAGGGATAGGTACTGTTGCGTGCGGTAATTGGAGCGCCGCTGAGGCGTTGATAAGACCTCGCTGCCATTGCTGTTGTTGTTGGTGTAGTTGTCCATATTGGTGTTGCTATTGTTGTTGTTGTTATTGCAACGTACATGCATACATATGTACATCTAAATGTAATTTAAATGCGTCGCAGGGCGCCCATGCCTAGTCTAATACCAATACATACCATAGGGTATAGTCCGGTCCCCCAATTGCGTGGTTGAAATAAGTGGAAAATGTTTTTCATTTTTGTTTTCAGTTTTTTTTTTAGGGTGATAAATTTTACAAAATAATAATTTAAGTTTTTAAATAAAATTAAATGGAGTCTTCACATACAGTCGTGCGAAAAATAATAGGGACGCTTGCATTAAAAATGTCATAACTGGAATGAAATTAGGGGAAATGAACCGTTACATCACTTCCTGGCGGGGCTATTGACAAAATATCGAAATAAATTAAATGTCGATATATATTGAAATACTTAACTTCTTTGATAATATCAGCATCGATATAGTATGTACAAGTATGTATATTCATAGGTATTTCTCTGATAATTGAAAATGATCAGTGACAAATCTGCCTCCAACTGGAATGACTTGATGGGAAATGCACCGTTATATCATTTCTTAAATACACATAGGAATTAATTCTTGACCTTAAATTTTTAGTAATTATCAAAAATATGGAAGATATTAATAGTTTTAAAACCAAATATTCTCAAATATTTTAAGTATATCAATAAATTACGCTATAAGTATATTCGCTATTGCTATTTGTTATCATCAGCACTACTCGCTGGAATGTCTATATAGTTAAGAATATTGCAATCTAATGTCAATACCTTGATAATAGGACTACTCGACGATACGTTGGTTGCCTTTTACGATACCCGCTTGTTTGAAATTATGTACTTCCTGAACATTTATTCGTAAGCTCTTATAATTTACAACATTTAGTTGCAGACTACTGAGAAAGTAAGCGGCATCTGCTGCATCCACTTGAAGTGGGAATTCATATTTTTATTATTTATAAGCATTAGTACTAATTTTATAATAATAATATATCAAGTTCATGTTCAGCTTAAATCTGAAAAGTTAACACTTAACTATTAGGTGTAGTTGTAAATAACATATTAAATTTGAAGTTTTACTTTAGATATATGTCTTCTAGAAATATAATTGAAAAAAAAAGGAAAAAATTGAAGTTTGTTATACATAGGTCAAATTTTCCCCGAAAGTTAAATTGGTTGGCATCCAAGAAGTACAAACACAAGTGTTTTTCAAAATGAAAACATCACTTTAGACGCAGTGGAATTATGCGCTTCGTGTGAATTTGTGTGAAGTGTCCCTACTATTTTGCACAGGACTGTCCAAAATTGAAAGTCTGTTATCGTTAAGAAGTTCTGTGTGTGTATGGAATACTCATTTGCAAATGTTAAGTGGTGCTGGGTGGAAATAATCTGTGAACCACTTCACTCCGCACACACACAAATAAACAAATATATATATGTACATACATATGTGCATACATTTGTGAAGATTTGTGTACCAGTTTAGTGTCTTAAAAGAGTTTCGCGCCATTTTTTAAGCTTTCGAAGTCGTCTGTTTGGCATTGCTTTGTAATTCTTTTGAATGTAACGAGGACGGATCGGAAAGTCGTTTTTTATGAGCACCATGCAACACAATTGTGGGTCCAACTCTCTAACGATAAAAGTTCGATAACTTCTTGAGATTTTGTAAGTTTCTTAAACGATCGCTCATCACTTCAAATTCATGTTTGAGTATTTGAAATTTTTGAACGAGACGATATAAAATTAATCGCATTCCCAAAGAATAATGTATAATTACAATTTTTGGCTTGCTTGTTGAAAGTTTGTTAGATTTTTGAAACGAAAAAACTGTGAAACCCCAACATTTTCATGGGTTCTTTATTACACAAAAGAAT